TTTTTTTTTTTTTTTTTTTTTTTTTTTTTTTTTTTTTTTTTTTTTTGGATACATTAGACTGCCTGAATTTCAGGATAACTATTGTTGAATTTGTGCTTAAATGTACGCATTATCTTCAAAGGCTCTGCCCTCCACTATACACTACCCCACAAGCAATCTCCCAGATCAACACCCCCCCCCTCCCAATCATCATTGCGTACCGTTACGTAATATATAGATGGCTCTAGCGATTATTTAACTATCAAACAGCAGTTCGGGGACTGACTACACACTCGAGGTCCAAATGAAAAAGAATCAAAACATGGATATTATTTTTAATTATTTATGTATTATTATTTCATTCAGTTATAATTTAATAACACATTGATACACGACAAGGAACACCTGCTGTATTAGTGGGAATGGTGAAATTGTTTCCTGGATGCCAAAATAGCAGTGATTAGATTTGGATATAGATTTGATGTCCCTAAAATCAACAGTGACCTGAGATTATCATCGGACAAATTTGTTCTCAAATTGTCTTCACGTATTTCGTTCTTCAAAATTTTTGTTTACACAAGTATTTTGTTCCAAAGATAAAAAGGTAGATTGATGCAAATGTTTTGAAATGAGGAAAGTCTTCCTTGGGGGAAAACTAGTTCAAAGCAACCGGTCCTTCTTTGAACTTGTCCCTAAGGAAGTCGTCTGCTTGCAACTCAATGACCTCCAGGTTCAGTTCATCTGGTCGACTGGCCACATCTGCTTCAAATGGGTTTTGAAAAAGTCTCACTTCTTCTGCCTTTAAATCCAAGTTATAAAACTGCTGCTGAAACTGCAGCTGGGGGTCTTTGATGATCTCGCATGCAAATGACGTGGGGGAACTCCGCTGTTGCTTCAGCCATGAAGACCGTCCACTGATGAAAGTGTGTAAGGTTGTTGGCCTGTACTTGTTCCAAAAAACAACACGACTCTGGATCTGAAGGCCTTTAGGTGGGTGTATAGATCAGAAACTTTGTAGTGCTGACCGTGGTGATCTGACAATATTGGTTCTGTTGGATCTCAGTGCTGCCTTTGATGAGATCGACCATGAGCTTCTTCTGTCAAGACTTCTGAATGTGGCAGTCATTACTGGAACTGCACTTCGCTGGTTTTCTTCATATCTGATTGGCAGAATTCAGCGTATTGTAGTGAAGCAGGCATCTTCCATGGACTCTTCCGTTACCTGTGGTGTGCCACAGGGCTCAGTTTTAGGACATATTTTGTTCTCCATGTATACAAGCCAGCTCGGCAAAATTATTGAAAGTCATAGTATTTCCCGAAAATATTTGCGGATGACACAGAACTATACAAGTGTTTCCGCCCTGATCCCTTGGAGTGTGCTATTGCTGTTCAGGCTGTCGAGGACTGCTGTCTTGCTGTGAAAGATTGGATGTCATCAAACAGACTAAAATTAAATGATGATAAGACTGAGGCAATTATTTGTGGTTCAGACGCCAATCTTCGGAAAGTTACCATTGCATCAATAAAAGTTGGTGAATCGGAGATCCTGTTGTCCTCGACTGTCAGAGACATTGGCTTTTATATTGACAGTAAACTTAGTATGATTCCCCATTAAGTTCTGTTGTCAAGGCATTCTTCTGTCATCTGCGTGCCCTGGGTCAGCTGCGTCCTCAACTCAATAGGAGAATAGCCAATGCTGTAGAGGTAACTCTAATCCAGTCAAGATTAGATTATTGTTATAGTAAAAAGTTGTTTGTGGGGGTTTACCTCAGAACCAAACTCAGAGACTCCAAAAGATACAAAATACTGCAGCACGCATTGTATCGCGGATGAAAAAATCGGACCACATCACCCCAGTTCTACGAGATCTCCATTGGGTTCATGTGAGTGAGCACATTAAATACAAAATTCTGTCCCTGGCGTACAGCTGCATGGATGGCTCAGCACCGGAATATCTCAAGGAACTAATTTATAAACATGTACCCCTAAAGAGCCTGCGGTCTCCAACCCAGTACTTACTGACTGTTCCTAGAGTGGATGAACACAGAAACAAGTCTTACGGGGTGCGCTCTTTCGAAGCGATAGCGCCAAAATTATGGAACAGTTTGCCTCAATCTTTGTAGGGAATTGTAAATAATAAAAAATCATTTAAGAAACAATTAAAAACTGTTTTATTTCAATAGATTTTGGAGGACCAGAGCGCAGTGAGCATGCTAAAGTGTCATGGATACCAGCGCGATATAAATATCAAATCAGTCAGAAGAAATCAATCAATATCATCTCATTGTCTGTGAACGGAAGTAGAAAAAACTTAGCAGCGAATAAGGTTTTGCCAAGTAATGATTGGTTAGAAAACATAACGTACTAATGCGCGCCTCTATTTTAATTAGGTAAAAACATAACATACACGTAAGCGGCGTCTGAACTTGGCTGGATACACGTAAATTTCCGTATTTTTTTCCGTAGACAAAAAGGTCTCCGCGGGCCGCATGAGAAGGCCTCGCGGGCCCTAGTTTGGAGACCCCTGTTCTAGGGGAACACTTTACTTTTTACACCGGCTAGAGAAGATGTGAAGGGGCCATGAACTCAGATGCGTAGCGAGGGTGTTTGGCGCCCGGGGACAATATTCGCGCCCGGGGACAAGATCCATTTTACAGCGCCCCTTTTTCTTTTTTTCAAACCTCAAGCCCATTATTTTCATCAGTAAAATAATATCAAAGCATATTTTGGCGCCCCTAACTAGCTGGCGCCCGGGGAATCTGTCCCCCTGCGCCCCCCCCCGCTACGCCTCTGCACGAACTTGGGGCGGTGGTCAATGTAACCTAATAATATATTTTTTTAAAGTATAAAATAGTATCTGATTTCTTTTAAAAATGTGTGCTTGTGATGATTGTGAGGGTCGAGTAAAAATTGGACAAAATAGTGATGGTTTGTCGATCACACTTGTCTCAGTTCAGGCTGTTTTACCTTTTAATTAAAAAAAAAATTTACACATAAGATCTATTTAACTATGTGAAAAATATTCTTAATCATATATAAGCTTAAAATCGCGCATTTACATTAGGATTTTAAAGTTGTCACATTTTATTTTACTTTTTTAAGTTTTTATTTTACTCCAACATACATTTGTAGTATAAATAGACTATTATTAATGTTGAAGTAACTTCCGGCAGGATCCGTTTTTCACGAATTTCCCACTTTCCCACGACCAGTGGTCAATGGTGACAGGTGACCGAGTGACGTTTCAGATTGCATCCATTACCAATCAATCATCAGAATGGAATAAAGAGTATCCCCATTTAAAACGAGCTTTTTAATTTTGCTCAAGTCTAAATACATTCATGACTGAAGTATAAAATTAACAAAAGGGTAAATAAATAATTTTATCTGAATATTTTAAATTACGTACTTTGAATACTTTGATTAGAAAATTATAACTTTTTGTAAAAATAAACCAATCATTCATAGTTATGATAGTTGAATAGAGCTAATTTTTTAAAAGAATTATAGCACCAAAATCATAATTTTACCTGTTGTAGTTAAAAAATTATGAATTTTTAAAGTTTGACTTTGACTTAATTTGTCCTTTTTTAACAATAAACAATGTCATGGACCACATCGCCACATTCTGACACCCAATTCTGCTGTTCGCGTCAGGAGC